TCGAATTTAAAATTGACCAAAAACTGATTGGTAACTCTTTTGGTATTAATGTTGGAGAGTGGTCCCTGGTCAAAGTGGTCTCTGGTCAAGTGGTCCTGGGTAAAAAAAAGATTGGGAACCACTGCTCCATGACTACCTGTCCTTACGCCCTTTGTTTTGTAAACTGATACTCTTTCTCCACCTATTTCAACCTTCCAAGATGTGGCTAGGTTACATCAGTATCCTGGGTATCTGTCCTACCTTACAATGGATTTCCTACAATAAAGCTTAGTTTCTTTCTTCAAGCATTTAGTCTTTGCTCCTTAAATAAAGATCTCTAATCTCTGCATGCACACTAATGTTTTCATGTGACACACAGAATATATCTGGTTTGCTGTTGCATCAAACTCCATTTGATCTAGAGATAAGCAATGGTGCCAATTTCATCTGATCTATCTATATCTGGAAGTTATATGAAATGCACATAACTTTAACAAAGTGACCAAAGGTACTGGTTATACATTGAGAACTAAGCAAAGGTGTAAATGTTGCCATGTAAACCACTGAGCATGGTTTGCTAAGAGCTTCAGGAAAAGATTTTTTTTCATGAGATCAAAATTCTGCTGCTCTTTATGGATACTTCAACACACACATACACCTGCATTTGTCTAGCATGACATTGCAGATTTCCCCTTCTTCTTACCAGATATGTTACAAAGAATGAGCATCAGCCATGCTGGGCCACATGCCAGGAGAATTAATGAGGTTTTGTAATAGCTCACATGGAGGCTTAGTGATTGCTCTTATAATGTATCTGCAAGGCAGGGGATCACAGAGTTGCTATTTTCTGTTTGTTACACAGACACACTTCTTGTGTTCCATTGATTTCTTTATTAGTGTATCAGTGCATGGAGGTATGTTCAGCTCCAGGCATCAAGGTTTGAATTCCATAACTCTCCACAGATATCCCACTCACCCACCCAGATTCTAGGCAACACTGACTGTGCCATCTGGTATGCTACCTACTGAGTGGTTCCCTGCAAACTGGAATAATCTTACAGGGCAATCTAAAATCGCAGCTCATTGATACATTACTAAGGATATCAAACTGCATGGGAGCTCTGGCCCAAGGCAGCTTTTGGAGGAAAAGAAAGGGTATGTCAAAAATGTGACATGATGATACTGCACTAAGGAATGGATGTGACTTTTGGGTCCATTAGATTAACACTGAAGACAGCTGGTTATTATTGACACATATTTTCTATTTTCTATACCTCATGGAGGATTTTTTAAGCCAAGGAAACTGGTTTGCTTGACTTTCTCTTAAAGAATCTACCTAGTTCACCTTCACAATTCTCGTGCCACATGAAGGATAAGGATCATGCTCAGGCTATCAAAAAGAGAACATTCATACCATGTAAATGAAATAAACTACTACTACTTCCACTACCAAGTGAATGGAAAGATAAATAAGATTAGAACTTTTATTAAACACGGCACCCTCACTGTAAAATCCCTAGTGAAGTGAAGTCCTTTTGGCCAACTTCCACTTGCCATTCTGGACTGGATGACCCATGAGGTCTCTTCCAACTCTATGATTCTGGACATAGATTGTATCTTTCCTATTCAGGTTGCCTCTAGATTCTGAGATGGAGTTGTTTTTATTTATACACATAATAAAAGTGAAAATGTGTGTATGTGGCAGGGATGTCTGCTTACACAGACAGAGTCCAGGCTCCACAAACAGGCTATAGTTCCCAATGAGCAGGAGACACCCATGGTCCTCCCAAACTGTCATTGCAGGATACTAGGAACATATCCAGGAGCCCTGCCAATGTCATTCACAAACGCCATCCTGCCCACCACCCAAGTGAAGGATTTCAGACGGCGACCATTTCTGCCTAGATTTTCTGTTTTTCCTCCACCAAAGACACCTCTCAAGGTTCCTTAGTCTCTCGTTTGCATGGCCCCACCCACTGCATATCCCATAACCCTTTGCATGACCCTACCCACTGCCTCTCCCTTAATTAACCCTTTTCTATGGCACACAGCAAACAGAGGAATCAATCAATAACTGAATACAACAACTGTAATCAATGAGCACTTTGGACCCCACCAACGATGGTACACAGAACCCCCATGACCAGCAAAAAATGCAGGAGGATTTTGGGGGAAATTCACCTTGATTTATAGGAATTATAGTTCACCTATACCCAGAGAGCACTGTAAACGAAAACCATGGATCTGGGCCACATTTGACATGCATACCCAATATGCCCAAATTTTAATACTGGTGGCTTTGGGATTGAATCAGCCTTGGCATTTGTTAGTTGTAGGTACTGGGATTTATAGTTCACCTGCAATCAAAGACCACTCCAAACCCCACCAATGATGGATCGGGACCAAACTTGGCACAAGGAATCCCTGTGACCAACTGAACATACTGCAGGGGTTTGGGGGGAATTGACCTTGATTTGGGAAGCTGTAGTTCACCTCCATCCAGATGAACAGTGACCCCCAGTGACAATAGACCAGGACCAAACTTGGCACAGAGAAGCCTCATGATCAACAGAACATACTGAACAGGTTTGGGGAAAGGGGAGTTATAGTTCACCTGCATCCAGAGAAACAGTGACTCCTACCAACAATGGAACTCCATCAAACTTGGCACAGAGAAGCCCCGTGACCAACTGAACATACTGCAGGGGTTTGTGGGAACTGGCCTTGATTTTTGGAGTTGTAGTTCACCTGCACCCAGAGACCACTGAACCCAGCCAACAACTGATTGACACACAGATTCAACACAGACTTGGCACACAGATTCAACACAGCCAACTGTGGATACTGACAGGGTTTTGGGGTGATTGCCCAGGGAATCTGGAAGTTATAGTTCATCCTTATCCAGAGAACACTGAACCCTGCCAACGGCAGATCTGGAAGCAAACTTGGCACACAGACTCAACACAGCCAACTGTGAAAACTGACAGGTGTTTCGGGAAGATCCTCCCAGGAATCTGGAAGTTGTAGTTCACCCTCATCCAGAGAGCACGAAACCCAAGTGATAATGGATCTTGACCAAACCTGGCACAGAGACCCAAAACGGCCAACTTTGAATACTAGCAGGGTTTGGGGAGGATTGACTCATGATTCTGGGAATTGTTGTTCACCCACACCAAACTGAGAATACCTGACACCCCAAAACAAACAATGCCTTTTTCAAATAATCTGGGCATTGCTGGGTCCCCAAGTTAGTAGGTAATAATTTGCTGGATGATATGCATAGATGGCTTTTATTTTAAAAGATATTTATTTGATGGACATTCTGTTTAATCTTATGTGCATTTTCTGTTGCTTTTTGATGATCCACAGGGTTAGTTGATAGATGAGGAAAGGAAAGAAAAGCATGCATGTGACAACTGTAGCACACAAATATGGATCCCATAAATTATGTTCTGTTCTTTCTCAGCCTTTATTTCAATCTATGGGACTCCTGTAAAGAGGAGCAAGTTAACTTACAGTAATGCTAACTATAAATCTTTGGGTATTTTGACAAGTAGCAAAGCTGTCCAGAAGATTGGCATTTTCACAGGAAGCAAAACATAAATAAATAAATAAATAATCCAGAAGATCCTGCTATTCAATGCATTTTCCTTGGAAAGGGATGTGTAAATCTATTGGCTAAGAGAAGTTTTCAGTAAAGCTCTTTCTTGTTTCTACCATTAGGTGGTGGCAGCATACAAGAGTTTCTGTAAAAATGCAAGTCTAAACTCCTGGGGAAACCTGCAATTGAATCTCCATAGTAGTCCAAACACAAGGGACTATAACTTCACTGTTATAGTCTTGATCAATTTTAAAAGCATATCTAGAAGTTCTATTTTCTATACGTAGGCATTTGTGATAAGGATATTTAGAAGTTCACAGAGGGACAGTCCAGAGAAAGAAAGGATTACATGTGAAATGCATTTCTCTGTACACATAGATTATGAAATCACAGTTTTTACAGAAAGAGAAAATGAGCCTTTGCTTGTTTATGGTGGTTATTTTTTTAAGAGCCCTTACGTAAGCTTGCGTAGGCAATTTCATTTATCTACTGCATGCCTCTCTCTCCCACTGTGAGTAGAACTCTATAAAGCATGGAAGCTATGTCATCAAAACGCCTCTATGTCTCCTCCGTAAAAGAGACAAAGCAAACCCCTAAACCTCAGACAGTCAAGCTCGAATGCATTATGTTTCTTTGAATTTTATTTTAAATAAGGGTTGACAAAGGAAACAGGATTTCAGAACCTCCACCTCTAAACATCACACGATTTTTCTGTGCAGATATGAAATATGGATAAAGTCTGGAAAAGCATAACTCAGTGGGAAGTCACCAGAGAATAACCATTACTGCATTATTCCTTTCCATAAAAATAATCCATTAAACCAAGGGTGAGGAAAGTGCTGCTCCTGAAGATTATCACCAATCCCTGAACCACATAAAATAAACCAACATTTCCAGGTCAAAATCAGCTCCAAACCACAACCCACAAAACATCCTTCCCAACTTCACCTAACATCCCACTTGCTAACACATTTCTTCTTTCCCCTCTATTTTTCCTTCAAACTAATGTGATGCTATGTTACTTCCTGACATTATTTTGAAGGTAAATTGGAGGGGAAACAAAGTATTTTGGGCTCTTTGTCAAGAGTGTGGCTTGCAGGAGGGGATGGAAAAATTGGCCACTTTCTCCCCATAGAGTTGCCCACTCCCGAGTTTAATGGTAGAAATGAGGTCACACAGTCTCCAAGGCAAAGGATTGGACATAACTAAAAAGGCATATGTGATCACAAGAGTTCCAGCTGATCTAGTCAATAGGTGACTTAATCCAGCATAATTCTTCCCAAAGTGGCAAACCAAAGTGGCCCACAAGCTTATTTCTCTGTGGTTGCTGCTCCCTAGTCTCTGCATCTTGAGGATTTAGCATTACAAGTAGTCATGGACTAGTTCACCATCACCACTTAATGACTTCACTGTAACTTACCCACAACTTGTCTCAAGCAAACTGTCACCAACTTGCAGTGATGCCATCCCAAAGTCTGCTATCCGGATATTATTCTTTTCATCCAGCAATAAGTTTTCTGGTTTTAAATCCCTGTGGCTGTAAAGATAGGACCAGATCACAGATTAAGACAGAGAGCAGTTGCACCATCTCATGTCAAATGCATCTAATACGAGGGGTGTTTTTTAAGTAAGGTCCGTTTGAACATAAGTACACAAAAAAAGTTTATTTCAAAAAAGTAAATTTGTTTTCAGAAAGTACATACTTCACTCTATTTTTTGACATAGTTGCCAAGTTTGTTCAAACACTTATCATACCTCTGAACCAATTTTAAAATACCCTCTTCATAAAAACTTGCCTGCTCCGATAACCAAATAGTCTGTAATCAAAGAAGGGCGACCGGAGCGGTCCTCATCATGGACGTTGTCACGGCCATCTTTGAATTGTCATACCCACTTACGCACTTTGCTTTCACTCGTAACAGTATCACGGTACACTTCACAAATCTGTCAATGAATTTCTGCAGCAGGCAGGTTCCTTGCTGACAAAAACCGTATCACTGAGCAAACCTCACATGCGGAAGGTGAGTTGATAGTCTCAAACATTTTTAAAGCACAGAACAGAACCGTACAGGTTAGCTACAGAGTGGAAACTGAGCACAGTTGTTCCCAAGGCATGCCAGTACATGACGCACACGCTCGTTGCAGTATGCGCATGAACTACTAGTGTCTACAACAAAACGGACCTTACTTAAAAAAAAAACCCCTCATACATGGAGCTTGGTTCTTTAATAACATCTTTGGTTTAGTTTCATTGGCCATGGAGAAAATAAGCCAGTTTGTGATAGATTTTCTCCTGCTTTGAAAAACTGAACAGATTATGTATCAACACAAATCCAGGATCTGGATGGCATCAGCTTGCTGACCTGAAGCAATTTCAATTTGCTTTTCTAATTCAGGAGCAGAGATTGCTAGACCACAACTTCTATCAAGCCAATAGTCAGGGATGAGAGTTGTAGTCCTAAATGTTCTGGAAATGTCACAGGTTACCACCACTCCTTTTATTGATACATACCAACCAGTTGAGGCTTAAAGTCATACCGAGGGTCTCTGGTGAAAGACAGCTAGGAAAAATTGATGTCTCTTTTCCTGAAGGCTACAATCTGCAACCACTCATACCATTAAAATATTCTCAGGCCTGACAATCCATTAGTCAACTTTTGTTTCTAAGGAAACATTGTTCTGTATCTGACTACTTTGATGTTGAGAATCATCTGAAAGTTGTTTGCACTCTTGCTCTCTGCTAGTTTCACTTCTATAGAAATGAGCGAATTCATTATTATTATATTCCAATCATCCTAGCAGATCAGCAGATCAGCATCCTAGCATCAGTAGCCTTATGGACCCAGATCCCAGATTCTGCAGATCCCAAAAAGCATTATAGTAATTAAAATAAATTAGCTTTTGATTTGGATGTTAGGACTGTCAAAACACACCTAAATTTCTGAGTATGATCTCCAACTAATTTCATCTGGGTTCTATGTAGAAACAAAGTACAGTTAGTTTATGCTTAAGCCTCCAGGGAGCCATCCAATACCTGACCTTTTCTAAGCTGATACAAAAACGTTATATAAAATATCACTGAGTACAGTAGTAACAATTAGTCCTTCCTTAAGAACGTTCCTGATCTTCAATATTTGACATAACTTATTGGGGTGAAAACTGTGTTTCAAACTTTATTTACAACATCTTAAATATTTTCATCTTTCTTATTCCTCTGGAAGATTCTTGAGGAAAAACTGGTATTTGTGCATGTGGGATAAATAAACAAACAAACAAACCAATTTATTTTGAAATTCTGGTTTTTTTAAAAAAAAATTGCAATAGATGATAAAGATTACAAGAACATAACAGATTTTCAAAGGACTATCATGTCATTAGATTTACAGCATTTCTGCACACATATAGTTTCAGAATGAAATAAGCTAAGGAAGATCAACGTGGAACTATTTTCAGCATGGTAAGGAAATACACCGTTTTCCTGTAACTGTAAACACAGGGAGATCATCAGATGTGTAATGCTGGTGGCATGGGTTACCTGCAATAAAAAAGTATGGAGGATACCTATATAGCTAAACATTGCCTTCAAACTCCAACAGAAATTGTGAGAGGGCAGAGGGAGACGTAAGGAAGTCAGTAGCTGCAATTTCTGTAATAGTTCAACAGACTGAATTGTATAATTTATATGCAAAAAGAAGCTCCTTGTGCCAAAATAAATGAAAATAAAAATCCACAATGTGTGCTAATTACACAGCATTTAAGCGAACATTGCAGAGGAAATGAACTTAAATTTATTGTTTTCCAGCTGATCTCTCTGGTTTCATGTCTTACATGGTTGGTGATGCCTTTTCTCTCTGTAAGTGAAGAGAGGGCACAATACCCTTTCATTGTCCTAGAGGGTGAAATTCCTTGAGGGCTTTCTCCACATCATTTGGAAATAAGAATTAAATAAAACAGTGGCTTTGGTGAACAAGCAAAGAAAGAGAGACATACAAACTAAGAAGGAAGATGAAAGTGGGAGTCAGAATATCAGAAAGACTATCCTATCTAATCCCATCTAGGATGGTAATTAGAAATTTCTGCAGATGATGAAGCAAACTGAAAGTTTACACAGTCTGCAAAAGGACTGCTTTCAAAGAGTATTTGTACTTATGAGGGTATGCATGCAAGAAATGAGTTGGGGCAGAGAGAGGTGAAGTCAGAATGAAGGATGAGGGGCCCTGAGAATACCTGATGACAAAATTATACAAAGGAGCAAAGCCTGGAAAAATGTCCCCCCCTCCCAATGTGTGGCACATAGCTCATAATATACAATCCAACTGTTCAAAGAAATGAAAAGAGAGTACTTCTGCAGTGTTGCAATCTTTTTTTAAAAAAATGAACAGATTTTTTAAAAAAATAGATTAATGGTCCATCTATCCCTGTCAACAATGAGCATAGGTCTTCTTCAATTGACTCTTCAAGAATCACACAGAAGTCTTTAAAGGAAAAAAAGATCTCTTCTGCACCATTATGCATTTATCATATTGACTGATTCGCAATTAATCAGTTCTTTGGCAGGACCCAATGCTTTCTATCTCTCAGTCTAGAATGGTGATTCAAGCAAACACCTTTGCAAGTGAAACCTGGCATATAGCTCATTACTAAGATTGCTCTTCCTTCTGGCTTTACTCTGTAGGCTCATTCACCCTTCTTTTTAACCCTAGGCCTTCCTTTTTTTTTTGCTTACTGGATGCCTTTAGATTAGACATATTAAGAGTTTGATAGGCAATAGTGTGTCATAAGCACAGATGCCTATCACTTCCTGTGTCCATAGGTCTGTGATGCTCTGGGCAGAAAATGTAGCCCCAAAGAGGAAAGGCCACTAACAAATGACTTTTGAGTGTTGGAAAGAAGAAGTCATAATCGTCCGGTTGTGTGGATGCTGACATTCAATTTATTAGAACTATTTTCAGGATGCTTCTGCATAATATTTGGCATTTTGTGAATGCCTCAACTTCCACCTCGCAAATGTCTTTTATTATTCCTTAATAAAAAAATATAGGATTTTACAAGAAGTTGTGACATACAGCTTTTAAAACAGTGCTCTCCTCTCATTGGGGAGGATACAGACAAATCTCTTCTTGTTCACTTGTTCCCACATAAACACATAAATAGAGATTACTATGAGCTCTGCTTGCCTATCCCAGCAGACATGGCCCCAGGCAATGGAAAGAGCAGAGGCTCTAGTATTTATCAATATTCATGCAAAATTCTGTCTCACCCCTCCAAGTCTGCCACCTAATAACCTCTCGTAACCCAAATAAAAAGCAGATGAAAGCAGAATCTCGCTCCTTGTTATAACAGGGACATTCTCCCTGTTTTCTCTCCCCCGTGGAAAAATTGGCATTTTTATTATCACTCTAAACCTAATCAGGTTTGCCATTGGGCCTCTCCTGTAATCGCACTTTCATTTGTCAGTGCTGCAAAACAAAAAGGGAACAGTCAACTCACACAAACAGAAATTAGACCAATCACAGTGTTGTTCAGTGATGTCACAAAGAGCCAATCAAGACTCTCTTAGCTGATCTCCCGGCTCTTCCTTGCAGACTCCTCATGCTGTGTGGCATGGAGTTTTCCTTTCTTCTATCAGAGGAGGAAATGCCTCCTGAGAAAACCAAAAAGAGGAACTCCTCTCCTACAGCCCTCTCCCAGGCAGTAACCACTATTTCCACTTGGCTATCTAAAAACACTGATCCTAAATGCAAACAGAATTAAAACAGCTCCCCACTCTCCTACCTTTGGCACAAGGCATCTGTCTACATGTCCTCTCAGCTCCCCACAGCCAAGTGTTCCCATGCTTCAGCTCAGTTGCATAACTCTCTAAGTAGCTCCTCTTCAGACTTGCTGCAAAGAAGATGCTTTTAAAAGTGGTGGATAGCCAGTGGTTGATACATGGATTTCTGCCCATTTAAAAAACTTATTGAAATATTTGAGTCTTTTTAAATAACCTTACACAAGATAGTCAGCTGCCACTTAGGCACTGTCCATGGAGTCTGTGAAAAAGTTGTGGGATTCTAAGAGTTAGTATTCTGTCGGGGATTATCCATAAATATAAAGTTATGGAGACACAACTAGCAGGGCCCTAGAGGGGATTTCTCATAATTCTTTGTGCTAGTGTGCTCTCGGAAAGAGAGTGTAAGTAGATGAAGCTGCCGTGTGTTGGAATGAGCATAAGAGCATCAGTCTATTGTGTCTGTGGATAACAAGTTTCCATGTTCATCATTAGCCAAAGAAGAAGCCTTCATTTTCAGTATGGTCATGACTGGCTAACCTGGCTGATTAGATGATTTGTCATTTTGAGCCCTCTGGCAGAGCAAGGTCAGGCTTCATCATTTGAAAACACAGATTTTAATGTTTTTCCTTGCTAGGAAACTATTCTCATTCTGTCTTCCCACTCCCCTCCCTACAGTGTTTGATTATGAGGTATTATAAGCACCACCATCTTGGGAATTGCAGGACATACGCATACACCATAAAGAGGTCAAAATAATGCCAAAT